ACCTGGACCAGTACTTGGGCCTAACTTCATTTCGGGCCAAAAGGCTCAATTCTTGCCACCTGTCCTAAATCCTGACAAGATAACAATAAGCATAATAACAAGGGCTTAGGCCCAAAAATAACAAAATACAATTTTTAAAATAATGAATGGGTTTTTGGCTCAATCTGCTCCATATACAGCGTATATACTAATTGTATATCGCCGTACATTCACATGTATCAGCTTCAAGACCTGCAAACTTAAATTTTCAGCCTTGTAACCAATTTCTAATTTTAAATTCGACTCCGAGGAATATGACGAGGGGGAGAACGCTGGGCCTAAGTGACCCTTTGACAATGCAAAGGGCAGTAAATCAAGTCCAAATAGACTCCTCGATGAAGCTCACATGCATAAGAAAACAAACATATTGTATGAGGGACCACCTATTAATTTAATACAGATAAGATGTTAGATCAAAACTAACTCAGCCACTATTCTATTTTATATTAAAAAAAATTAAAGGCAAATTACACAAACATTAATCCAATACAAGAAAAATAATGACTTTAAGCAATTAATGATCATAGCCAAATCTGGACGAGGGTAAAATCTATCTATATATAATATGAGAAGAAAAGTGCCACATGTCAGCACCTTAAATTTTCTAGAATTTATAAATTATTAATTATTAAAATCAATTTAAAATCTGAAAATAATAATAAAATTGCTAACTATTCATACGGTTTTTAATCAGTTATCTATTTATTCAAATTTTAATTAAAAGGGATAAATTTTGTACGTGGTTGATTCCTAAACATTAGGAGGAGAAAACTGAACTTAAAATCCTTTATTTAAGGAAACAATTTTAAAGAGTAAATCTTCTTCTTTTTTTTTCAAAAGTAACTGCATCTTTTTTAGAAAGAAAATGAATTGCAGTGAAAAACCATGCCTAACTTTTTCATTCCCCATATCCTAATATGCAATATCTTACACAATTTTTATTTATAATATTACTCATAAATTTTCTCTTATTTGATATCTAAATGTCTGTAGATACTATATGCCATTATTTAATTTTTTATTTTTTTTATAATATTTTTATAGGATGATTTCTACAAAATGATGAATGCTATTGAAGTTAGTTTCGATGACCCATTAAAGTAATGATGGTTGCGGAAGATCTATAATTATTCTAGTACTAACAGTGAGCACCTTAGCATGTCTCCTAAGACCTTTAAAACTAGAGAGAGAATTAGACCATAATGAACATACACTAATTTAATATAACTTGAAGTAACTCAAATAAACAAACCCCTCTTTTGACTGATGAAGCGTAAATAAAAATTTACATTTTTTGCATAACTGAGACAAAATGGCAAAAGAATCCCGTCACATTAAGAAGAGCCGAGCATATTAGATATGGGCCAAATCAACACATAATTTTAACGATAGTAACATAAAAGATCATAGAATTTTGGGCACAAGTAGGAATGGGATTTTATACTCACATCTTCATAAGACAAGACGGAGGGAATAAACATCCTTCAACATTTACCAAGACATCGAGTCAACATCAAAATAAGAACGCAACCAACATAATAGAGGGGTAAGGGTATGAAGTGACACACATGAAATTTCTATTGTTTTCTCATTCTCAAACCAAAGCAACAACAAACGATAAGAGATGAGGACATTGCATCATAATATTAGCTACTACATACTCCTAATTTAAGCATTATAGCACTAATAGAGTTCAAACGGAAGGGAACAAACATAGATATACGACTACTTCATCAAACAGAGGACAAACTAACTAAAAATAAAACGAAGTGAAAGAGGAGGAGTTGTCACCTTTTTCGGTGCAGCGAGACTGGAATGACGAGCTATTTAAGAACCTTCCAAACCACAAATAGAGATTCCGATGAACTCCCGTAAACAAAGAACGCACAAGAGAACTAAGCAAAATTTGTATTCCGAATCTCTGCGATTTGAAGCTGTTAATATAACTATCTAGCTAACAATTTTTATTATATTTTCATTCCTAATGGTCGTCCCCCTTTACAAATGAACGGAAAAGATATTATATAGGGGAAATTAGGATAGATTTTAGGGGGGAAACAGATAGAAATTGAGGCCAACTTGAATTTCAAACTTCAAAAAAAAATTCACCATTAGAGGCAAACATATTTTCTCAGATTTTCAACCCCATTCCGAAAGAGGAAATGGGGATAGCCGCGTGCTGTTGCTAATGTACGGATTGAGAAGGACGTGAAGAAGAAAACAAAACTTGCAGCGGAGTCTCTTTGTTCCTCGCTGCTTTCCGCCTGATCGCTGTTGTGTTTGTCGTTTTTTTCCAGCAGTTGTTAATGTCTAGGAATTGCTCTGTTTGTTGACGTTAGAAGCTGGTGGAAGCTGGATTTCTTTTGGGACAAGGAAATGGGCCGGGTCGGGGTCAAAAGTGGGCTGGATTATTGCTGAAGGAATGGGAATAGGGAACTGTGGGTTGTAGGTTTGCTGGAAAAGTTGGAGAAAAGGCCCAAAATTTTGGCCTTAAAATGGTTTTAAGGTGAGGTTAAAGATGGGTTAGTATTAATTAATTAACGAGCTTCTTAATTTTAATGAAATAGAATAATTAATTTAATTGCAAACCAATGATTTAAAATTATAACCATAACTTGAACTAAACTAATTTTGTAAAAATATTTAAAATAACATCTTTTTTTTTTGTGAGACGATTTTCGAGTATCCATAAAATATACTAATTATATATAACATTACATGAAATATATTTATCATTCAAAGTACTATAAAAATCGACTTAAATTATTTAAAATAACCTTGAAACTATTTTGAATTATATAAAGATAATTATTCTAAATCTATTGGGATTTAAGAAGCTCGGTGATTAATTTAATATTGTGGAGGGTCAAAATTGGGTGTCAACATACTGAAGGAAGCCACCTGAACCTTGACTTGGTCATGCAAAAATACACTTCTATGACAACATTTTTATCTGCAACTGAAAATATTTAAATAAATCAAATCATCATTTTCACACATACACACAACACATATAGTTTGGTAACGCTTCTGAGTTCGGCCAAACCCTTAACCAGAGGGCTAGCTAGCTCCGCCCCTACACTTAACTGAGATCCATTTTTCTATTCCCCTAACTTATACATCTTTGATCCATACCACTAACAGTCAAAAATCAAAAGAGGGTTTGCTATGAAACTTGCCTATCGAAATGGAGGAAAAGTTAGGGGGAGCCATATAAGGGCGAGTATAAATTTTCAAATGTTGAGGTGTCTTTTGAGTTAAAGCCAGCCACCTTAGTGGACAAAACCATGAGGTCCAAAAGCCTTGAGGTGACCTAGAAGGACCATTTCATAGCGGACATTATTAAACATAAAAAATAGTCAAAAGTAGAGACTTTTTTGGTCTGAAATATTGACAAGTTTTTCACCCACTAGTGGCAAATTATAAAGGAGATGATAACGATCCTTTTGTGGAATTTATCCAAGAAGTAGTCACTTTCTCTGAAGTTCTGACAAATTTATTACTCCCTCTGTCTTAATTTCTGTCATGGTATATATATTATTAATCATGTGTTAAGAAATTGAGAATGATGTTTGATGTTTTGACTTCATCTCTGGGAAACTAGGGGAGAATATTCATTGTGATAGTAATATGGATGAAATGAAATTATGTTGTTCATATCCATTTAGTAAATTGAAACATATTATATGACGAAGAGTCGATCCATCACAGTAACAATTTATCCGTAAATAAACATATATCATCGAGCGCGAATAAGTTTTTACCCCAATGTCAACTCTTGGGTACTGAAGGAAGCCACTTGAACCTTGACTTGGTCATGCAAAAGTACACTTCTATGACAACATTTTTATCTGCAACTGAAAATATTTAAATAAATCAAATCATCATTTGAAAATGTTGAGGCGTCTTTTGAGTTAAAGCCAGCCACCTTTGTGGACAAAACCATGAGGTCCAAAAGCCTTGAGGTGGCCTAGAAGGACCGTTTCATAGCGGACATTATTAAATATCAAAATTAGTCAAAGCTAGAGACTTTTTTGGTCTAAAATATTGACAAGTTGTGCACCCACTAGTGGCAAATTATAAAGGAGATGATAACGATCCTTTTGTGAAATTTATCCAAGAAGTAGTCGCTTTCTCTGAAGTTCTGACCAAATTTATTACTCCCTCTGTCTTAATTTTGTCATGGTGTTTTAACTACGCACAAAACTTTATTTTTATTATAATCCATCAACCCGAGCTTTCACCATCCTGTGGTGACGATAAACCCCTCTAGTGTATATTAATCACACTCAAAAGTACAGCTAAATGGGACAAACCTTACCTTACTAAAGGTTGTTAATCAGAAACTAGGTTAGACATATCAAATATATATAGAGGAACTCCCATCATTTACAAAGAGACTATCAAAGTAAATGAGGAAGAGCACTCTCCCCATACCAAAAAAAGCATATGCAATGTACACCTAACGTACATCAAAATTACAACTTGTGGGGAAAAAAAAGACTATTGAAATTTATCGTCTTAAACAAGTAAATAAGTCGTAGACATCTGATTGAAGATAAATCACTCCATGAAGTGTAAAAGGAGAAGTTAAAGTAAAATTATTTCTAAATTAGGAAGCATGTCATTCTTCCTGTTACAGAAAATAAAGGAGAATATGATACATAAATTGAAACAACTGACTTTAAACACCTCAGAATATCCAACAAGTGATTTTAGAGGGGGGGAGGGGAAGGGTCGGTTAGCTAAATATGTCACTCTAGTCTGCGTGGCGACTGCTGTATGGCTATCAAGACATATGGTCGACATAATTTGTGGAATTCTTATAGAAATTAAGGTATGTAGGGAAGTATATGGAAGGCCTCTGCCTCTATATGATGACATGTCGTGGATTCCTTTGGTCACCACTCACCATAGATTAACTCTTTCTCCAATTTCATCTAATACTAAAATTTGTGTCTATGGCTTCTAATAGTATTATAATTCCCTCATCCTCCATGCCTCCACCTTCATCTTCATCCCATAAATATCATGTTTTTTTGGGTTTTAGAGGGGAAGACACACGTAAAACTTTTACGGACCACCTCTATTCAAATTTGGTGCAAGCTGGAGTTAATACATTTAGAGACGACGAGGAGCTCAGAAAAGGCACAGAAATCAGATCTGAACTGATTCAAGCTATAGAAGATTCCATGATCTCCATTGTTATTTTCTCAAAAAATTATGCATCGTCTAGCTGGTGTCTCGATGAGCTTTTGAAGATACTTGAGTGCAGAGAGCAGCATGGTCAGCTAGTTATTCCTATATTCTACGACGTTAATCCTTCTGAGGTACGTAGACAAGCCGGTACATTTGGTAAAGCACTTGCTAAACACGAAAACCGTTTTGGGAAGGAGAAGGTAGTAAGGTGGAAAGCCGCTGTCAAAGAAGCTGCAAATTTATCGGGACGGGATTTGCAGAACGTCGAGGACGGGTACTCTTAACTTCCTCAAACTTGACTTTTTAACTTTTCTATACTGGTAGCTCACAAGAAACTTTAAAAACTATCTAGTCACCTAAAAGTGAACTACAGACAGCCGATAGTAAGTAGAACTAGTCTCCGTCCCATGGTACCTGTTGCTGGTGGGAGGTGGCAGGTATCCCATGGAATTAGTCGATGTGAACGAAAGCTAGTCTGGACACCATAGTCATAAAAAAAAAAGTCTCTATTTCACACCCCTACAACTACTATAAATTTTATATCTAAAGATAGTAGACTTTTAACACAATACAACGTTAAGAAAAAAGAACATATAGATCATTATCAGTTATCACTATACTCATACGAAATATTCTCAAGTGAAAAGAAAAGGAAAACATTACCAATTCACATCTGTGATGGATAATCAGACAAGATCATCTTTCTTTAGTCACTAATCTTCAATGGTCAATCACCATAAAAAGAAACAGAAGACTAAACCTGTATAAATAGAAAAACAATACAACAAACATTTAGAGTGAATGTAACTCAAGAGTTATCATGCTGAAACAATTCGGATATCAAATTTATAGTTGATTATAGTGTTCCTGAGAAAACTTTCTCTTCTGAACCAAAATAGCGGTCCTCTTATCTTCTTTTTATAAAGCAAATCGACTTCGACGCTTGAATAATCCACATTACTTTTGCTTCTATTGGAACACAAGATACCCCTTTTCTGTGGAATAAAAAAATCATCCAATGGATTTCATAGTTCTTTTATATTATTATCCAATGTGAAATTGTAATTTGTCTAGGAGGCATATCTAATTTTATTCCCAATCCTAATTTACCTCTTTCCAAGTAATCCCTCTCTACTATAATACCTCATTATGTATTAGTAAAAGTTAACGTAGGGGTCGTTTGGTAGCGGGATAAGAAACAAGTTATACATATATTAATTTTCGTAAATACAACGTTTGGTTGATAGATAGGAAATAACCTATTCATGTATAAAATTAATATGCTGTTTGTTGACAATTTAGAAACCCGCATAACTAATACATGTATAAGTTATGAGGAAATCTATATAATATTTTATGCAGGATAAAAGATGGAATAATTAATACATGTATGACTAATAAATGAATAATTAATAGTTGCATAACTAATAACTGCATAAAATAATACATATATTCACTCATAATTAATCCCTACATTTCTATACCCTGCACAATTCTAACCAAATACCAAAAAACCCCTTTAGTGATTAGAACGTCAAATTAAGTCCACAATGAATTATATATATTTCACCAAATTTATTAGTTGAATTAAAGTTGTAGTTAATATTAATTGATATTTTAAATATTACAATTTATCCAACACGTATTTTGCTTCTTTGAAGGAAAATATAGTTTACGAAGGGTATAAAAGTTGTTCAACATTTTAAGAATATTTCTGTCGTTCAACAATTAGCATTTTGACATGCTTGCTTTGTTATAATATAGAAAATTGACCTAGAAAGTAAGATAGACAAATACAATCTAGTTTATATAAGATAAATAAATACCTTTCTCTCATCTTGGTTAATTAGACTTTAGACTAATTTGTCTTGAGTTTGATTTTCCAGGCATGAAGCAAAATTCAACAAGAAACTTGTGGAAGAGGTCTTAAAGTTAGTAAACCCCACATGCATACACCTTCCAAGACTGGTAATTGGGCCTAATTCTCATGCAGCGGGAGTTATTTCTCTATGCGAATTCTACTCATCAACTGGTGTCTGCATGTTTGGGATCTATGGGATGGCTGGCATTGGCAAAACAACTGTTGCCAAAGCCGTCTACAATCAAATCCACAGGGGGTATGAAGGTTTCTCCTTTGTGGCTCACGTAAGAGAGCGCTCGGAAAATAACATGCTTCACAACCTACAGGAACAACTTCTATCTGAGGTTCTAAAAAGAGAGGACTTTAAAGTCCAATATAATGTTGATAAGGGAAAATGCCTAATCCAAGACAGACTTGGTCAGAGGAAGGTCCTCATTGTTCTGGATGATGTCGATGACATGAGCCAGATAAAAGCATTGGCAGAAGAGAGAAGCTGGTTTGGTTCGGGGAGCACAATAATTATAACAACAAGAAGTGAGCATTTGCTAGATGATGTTGGAGTAGACTATAAGTACGAGGTAACAAGGTTGGATGATTTCTCTTCCAGGCGACTCTTTTGTTTTCATGCTTTCAAGGATACTACTGTACCCGAAAATTTGGATCATGAGTTGGTGAAAGACATAGCACATCTAGGTGGAGGGGTTCCTTTAGCACTCGAAGTTTTGGGCTCTCTTTTGCATAAAAAGGACGATCAAACATGGAGAAGTACCCTCGAGAGCTTGAAAAATCTTGCTCATCACAGTAGTATTCACAAAGCACTCAAAGTAAGCTATGACTCACTTGATGAGAACTCTCAGGAGATTTTCCTTGACATCGCGTGCTTTTTCATTGAAGCCCAAGAACTTTATGCTAGTCTTATATTGACCGGTTGTGATCGCTCTTTCAGCTTGGGGAAAGGAATTTTGACCGGAAGATGTTTAATCAAAATCGAACAGAATCGTTTGTGGATGCACGATTTAGTTCGAGATATGGCTAGAGAAATTGTTCGTCGAGAGTCACTTAATGAGCCTCATATGCGCTCTAGATTGTGGTTTCATGAAGATGTTAATTATGTGCTACGAAAGAACAAGGTAAAAAAAAACCTCTTTCCTGCCATTGTCTCTTACATTTGTTAGTTGATCTGGAGTATAGAATATGTGTGTGCATCTATTGATATTCTCTCCATTTCAATTTTATATGGTGGTATTTGACTGTGCACAAGGAATTTTTAGAAAAAATGGACTTTGAGACTTGTGGTCTTAAATATTTAAGAACATTTATGTGACTAAGGGTAAAATGAGAAGTTTAAAGCTAAATCGTTTCCAAACACAGAGAGTCTCATTACATGATGTTTTAAGCTCTTTGAAAAGCAAAATAAGCAATTATAACTGAATACATAGAAGAATAACAACGTATCCTGCACTGTTATGATGACAGGGTAGCAATCTGATAGAAGGCATCAGCGCCATCCATCCCAAAGTGAAAGATTTAACTGTTAACACAAAGTCCTTTGCAAGAATGGATAGGTTGAAAATATTTCAAGCAAAAGGAATGAATTTTACTGGAAGCTTCAAAAATTTGTTTGACGACCTAAGATGGCTAAGTTGGCAAAATTTCCCTTTGAAATGTTTACCTACTGATATTCATCTAACCAAACTTGTGGCTCTGGACATGCAATATAGCAACATCATGGAAGTTTGGCAATCCACCATCAAGGTTTACTGCTAAAAATACCCTTGTTCTTTTTAATTTTTTCAAGGTTTAGATATAATACAATTTTAGATTAAACGAACTATAGATACTAATGAATATATTATTGTTTCTATGTATCAGCCCCTGGAAAACCTGACACATCTAAATCTCAGTCATTGTCAACGACTAAAGCGAACTCCTGATTTTTCAAGGGCGATAAGTCTTGAGACAATATTGTTTACAGGTTGCTCCGAGTTGGGTGAGATTGATTCATCAATAAAATATTTGGTGAAACTTGTTTACTTAAATCTGGAAGACTGTGTAAGCCTCAAGAATCTACCAAGCAGCATTTGCAAGCTAGAATCACTTCAACATCTAAATATGTCAGGTTGCTCGGGTCTACAACAACTGCCTGCTGATTTCGGACACTTGAAAAACCTAAGAAGCTTATCATTACAAGGATGCAACAGAAGTTTAAAGGCTCAATCTTGGCTGACTTCTATTTTATCTTATGTACCATGGGCAGGAAGTAGTTCATCGTGTCCAGAGAGGTTGTTGCCACATTCCCTTTCCCGTTTAAGTCACTTGACGGTGCTCAATCTCAACGATTGTAGGCTTTCAGAAGCAGATGTTCCCACCAATCTTGGGAGTTTAACCTCATTGAAATACCTGAATTTAGGAGGAAATGATTTTTACACTCTCCCATCATCCCTCTTTTGCGACCTATCTGAGCTAGAGTGTCTTGTCCTGGATAATTGCAAGAATCTTCAAATGTTCTCACTACTTCCTTCTAATCTGCAAGTGCTCCATGCAAATGATTGTTCATCCATTGAAAGTCTAGACATGTCCAATTACAGGATACTGCCACAGCTCTATGTATCTAATAGCGACAGATTGTCCGAGATTAAGGGCATGGAAACTATCGAAAATGTTGAATATGTTCGCATAGAGAGCAGTAGCAAGCTGGCATGACGTTTCTTTAATGAAAGTTTCTTCCAGCTGGTTAGTTAGTTCCTCTATTCATCTCATCTTTGTACTATTACAATTAAGTGCAACTCACACCATTTATGTTTTATTTTATGCAGACAGGAGAATGTGATAAAGATCTTCCTTATCCAAGCAGCTACTATATTGCAGGTAGCGAGGTTCCAGAATGGTTCAGCAACCGAAACATAGGATCTAATATAACCTTAACAATGCCACCAAACATAGAACATAACTTCCAGGGAATGATCCTTTGGTCTATCTACCAGTTCAAATACAATGGAGCTTTTCAATATGGTCCTATCATAGAGGTCGGTGATCAGACCAATAAGGTTACATGGGTCCTTGGCTTCCCTGAGATTACTGTAACCGCTGACAAACGTTCTTGGGTGACCTTCATACCACGAGATTACTTTTGTCCTGCTTTAGAAGGTGGAGAACAAATTACATTTTCGTTCAGTATCAGAGAGCAAGGATATACAGGGTTAAAAGTGACAAAGTGTGGCGTCCATCCAGTCTATGCAACAGCAGGAAGAACATTGCCAAAACTCCAGTTTCGAGATCCTCGGAGTAATTTTGAGGAAAGGAGGTTGATACCCTTGTGGAGACCATCATCCATTGCTGGAGTAGGACATGTTATGTCATATCATCTTAATAATGGCACTGATGATCAGCACATTCAGAAAGTCATATTTAACGGCCTTCGTCTTTCGCAAGCTGGTGATGGGACATCTTTATTTCACAACATCATCGGCACACCTTTCCATGTAAATCACGCGAACTTTCGCCAGATTTTGCAGGAAGCATATGACCATAGTCGACAGAATACAGATGATTGGCGAGATCTATTTTGCGATGTGGTAGTCGACCAACAAAACAGGTTAGGCTTGGGTGAAGGAAGTTGGAACTGTTGGGTCTGATGACAATTCTGGCAGGAAAATACACGCCTTGAAAATGAGTAGTCTTGAACTTTTGATGCAGCTTGCCCCGTGGGAAAACCTTCAAGGTCAAAGTTCAAAATCTCTTAAACTTGAAGTTCTTCCCATAAGGCAAGTGAGGTCAAAAGTCCAAGACCGTGGTTCTTGTAGATTACCTTGGTTAAAGTGAGACAAAGGGCCCAATGCATTAGGACTGACCTAATGGTAAATATTAAAGACAACTAAGGGCCTACTGGAAACAATCTCTCAACTTTTTCAAGGTAGGGGTAAGGTTTGTGTACACACTACCCTCCTCAGACCCCACTTGTGGGATTACAGTGGGTCTATTATTATTGTTGTATATGAATAAATACATGTAAGCTTCAATTAATTAAAATGTGATTTTGGTTTCTTTATGTAGATAATATGTTATATTTAGACTACATTCAGAATTATATCTTGCCCTTAATATGGAGTAATAGTATAAAACTAACATACCACAAGGGTAATGAAAACATATCATATAAAAACTTTACCAGCAAATCAGAATCAGTAGTTGGCAAAGAGAAAAAGGCAACAATGCAGGTGTCCTTGAAAGTGGCAACAATGTTTGCAACACGGAACACTACTTCATCTCCCTCGTGATTCGTCAAATGGTAACATCTTCCTTGGTCTCCTTGATCTTTCTCCTACCTGAGTATGAACCAAATAATAGATGAGATGAAGCTTAACAATATACTTCACGAAACGAAAAACAGTAAAAACAGAAGTATCTTACTGTATCGGTGTATCCTACAACTCAAATGGTCAAAAATCTCTAACAGTAGAAGTTAAGTCTCTTACTGTTCTCTACTTCAACAACTACAATTACGCCTCCTTAGTGTTTTCTGCTACTCAATATAATGGCCCAAAATGCAAAGGACTCAAATAATTAGTCGAGGAGTACACAAACTAGCTCAGACACCATGGTTATCGGAAGCAAAAAAAATGGTCCTTTCATATACATCATAGAACAAAGTCATCAAGCAAATAAACAAAAAAATTGTCATTATTACAGAGTATGAAAAAACGAGACTTAATCCAAAATGCTACAATTTCAACGATAAGTCCGCATCTCCAAAAAAAAAACAAAAATGAGGAGTTTTGAGATTTTATTTCGACTTTTTCTATGCTGTGAGCAAATTAGACTTTTTACCAGGTGATTCCACGTGTTATTGCTCTCGCTGATTCTATAATCGAAACACGAATTTACAATCGGCAAACCCTAACAGCTCTTTCGCATTCAATTCATAGAAAATAAACAGCATAAATTCGACTTACAATCACAAATAAGAACTATAAAAACTTACTTCGTTTTTGTAGTTTCTGATTCTGTGGAGCTTTTGCAGAAATCATCATGCAAACAAGAGAATTTGTGGCAATATCTGCTAATGTATTGAAGCGATTTAGGGATGTTAAGAAGCAAATTTTTGGGGGAAGAAGAGGAAATTTTTAAATGGAAGTTATAAAATTTATTTAGTTCGATTGGCCTCTAGACAAGAAAAAGAGGGAATGACCCGATCCACTTACAAATTAAAATGATTTTTTCGCGCGAGTTTCATATATCAACTATTATTGTTAGGCATAATACATAAATTGGACCCTAAACTTGGCATCGAATTTTAAGTATGACCTCTAACTTTCAAAGTGCACAAGTAGGCACTTCAACTATCCAATTCTTAAACAAAAACGCACGTGAATCCAACCTGGCATAACGCGTGATTGAGACGCAATTCAAGAGCATCAGGGGTATTTTTCGAGGCACACAACAGTTTTTTAAAAATGGAAATGACAATTTTACCCTTAATGAATCTCTTTTAAATATATCTTTATTTTTTTCAAATCAAAATCCCATTTTTCTTCTTCTTCTTCCTAATTCTAGTACTCAAGCTTTTTTTCTCTTTTTGTGCACAATTTCTGGTCGTTTTTTATGTAAAGGCTTCTAATTTTTTTTGTCATTGTGTAAAAAGAGCTATAATGAAGATTTCTTGGTCTGCAAATAATTCAGGTATAAAAAAAGTGAATTTACATTCATAGTGACAGCTTCTACCAAAAATAAACTTTCAAAAAGCAAAAATTAACATAACCAGACTAAATTGAGGAAGAACAACACATAAACATCCAAAAGATAAGAACTTTGACCACAAATCTTCACAATTTTACTTTGATTTGCAAAGAAATTAGGGCTAGGGCTCCGCTGATGTTGAGTGAAAATCAAGCAAATTGGGAAAAGAAAATACGACCCTACCCTTTTGTATTTTAATTTCTTCTTTTTTTAAATTATAAAATACGTGTAATTTTTTAATTACGTGGCAGCCATTGAGTGGCTCAATAAGCCACGTAGGAGCGTTTGTATATCACACAATTTGGCTGTTGGATTCGAGTATTTTTTTGTTTAAGAATTGGATAGTTAAAGTGTCTACTTGTGCACTATGAAAGTTAGAGGTCATACTTAAAATTTGAAGCCAAGTTTAGGGTCCAATTTATGTATTATGCCATTATTGTTATGATTATTATTTATATAAATTATCAATTTTTTTTGTTTATTAAAATGTACTTAATATTGAGTTGGTTAAATATTTGTTCTTAATCAATATAAAGAAAGTGATAGATGATAAATAAATCAATATATACTTATCTGGATAATTATAGTGTGTATATCTATTTGCGTAGATATATTGAATACACCATAAAATACATATACAAAGAGAAAGAGGAATGAAAGAGAGCAAGAGAGAAAAGAAAGAAAGCATCACTGAATTTGTTATCTCGTATACAACCTCTTAACGAGTGAGATACACTATATCTTATTTAATACTAGAGCTACATTATGCAAATATTGAAAAAAATCGTTGCATTATAATTCTCAATTGAAAAGATCATGGCATGACAATACAAAAATATGGACACGTATAGTTGGTGCTAAAGGAAAACTTTACCATATGTTTTCAAGAATTGTAAAATAGAATTAGGATTTTCTGATAATGTAATTTTAGGAATTTTACATAAAAATTCTAACTAAGAACTAAGCATCAAATAAAGGAAATAACACAGCAACAAAAAAACTAGGTAAAAACAAGCTCATATTTTGTATTTTGACGTAAAAGATATATATCCTGTCTTTTTGTTTTATATTATTTTTGCTCATTACATAATACGAGCGGGTGGAAGGAGAGAAAGAGAGAGAGAGTGAGTGAGAGGGCTATGAGAGTGGAAGAAATTTACAACAAAGAAATATATTTAGTGTAATCTCTTTCATGGGATTTTGGCAAAGTGGATGTGCGTAGATTTTGTCTCTACCTTATAAAGGTAGAAATGTTGTTTTTGATAGGTGCTCGGCTCATGAATCGTTTTCTAAAATAGTCTTGAAAGAAAATAATAGTAACGTGACTAATTATTGATTCAAAATTGTCTATGGCCTTACTCTTTAATGTCAAATACAATTTTGACTTTTCTTAGTAATAATTAAATATCATGATTATTAATTTTAAACTCAATTAGCATGTCCTAAGATCAGTTTCATCATGTTTAAATGCTCTTTTTCTTTGTATTATTATAAAACTTTCAAATTTCTGGCCGTTCCCATGTACCAACAATAAAATAAATAAACTCTTTGTAACTTTGTTTAGTGCAAAAACTTGACGTGTTTAAAAATAATAGTATTTTCTTGCTTAATTAAGAAGCATAATTATACGACATTTTCACTATTTTAGCTCCTCTTCTAAATGTTAGTACGTAGGAAGGCGTCCCCCTCCCAATAGGACAAGAACGGACGTATATAGAAGCTCGGGTATGAATTCACCTGAATCTAATATCATTGTTCAAATCATATATACCTATATATATCTTGAAGTTGTTGTATGAACGATAATTTTTAAATCTTGAATTCGCCCTTGGACCTTCGGGACTCGGGAATCATACATTGAAGGTATAATGTTCCCTAATAAAGAAGACTTCACACCTAGTTCAAACTCGACCTCTAATTAATAATCAATGAATACTTATCATTCTATTATAATCATTATAGGTGGTACCCTCCACTTTATATTGTACTGAAGGGTCCTCTATTATACATCATAAAATCGGGTGTTACATTCTCTTTAACTCAACTTATTTGTAAGGAAAAATGTTCAAATATGCCGTCGAACTTTGAAAAAAGATTCTTTTATGTCATTTTGTTAAAATTTATTTTTAAAATATATTTATTTCTTTTGTTTATTACTTCTATCATATCGAGAAAAGATAATTAATTTTTCATTTTCTACTCAACATTAATTGAACTGAGAAAGAAAAGCATAAAACGCATTCAACGAATGCAATTTATGTGTAAGTTTAAGTCTCTTCTCATTTTTGATGAAATTACGTTATTACCCTTCCGTTTAATTTTATTTGTCCAATATTTTTAAAATATATTTATTTCTTTTATCTATTACTTTTATCATATGGAGAATAGATAATTATTTTTTCATTTTATACTCAATATTAATTGAGCTGATAAAGAAAGGCATAAAACACATTCAATGAATTTATGTGTAAGTTTTAGTCTCTTCCCATTTATTGTTGAAATTACGTTATTACTCTTTCTGTTTAATTTTATTTGTCCAATATTTTTAAAATATATTTATTTCTTTTATTTATTACTTTTATCATATGGAGAAAAGATAATTATTTTTTTCATTTTATACAACATTAATTGAGCTGAGAAAGAAAGACATAAAACTCATTCAACGAATGCGATTTATGTGTAAGTTTCAGTCTCTTCCCATTTATTGTTGAATTTACGTTATTACCCCTTCCATTTAATTTTATTTGTCCAATATTTTTAAAATATAATTATTTCTTTTATCTATTACTTTTATCATATTGATAAAAAATAATTATTTTTTTATTTTACACTCAACATTAATTGAGCTGAAAAAAAAAGGCATAAAACGCATTCAATGAATGCGATTTATGTGTAAGTT